ATGCAAGGAATTTGTAAGTGGTCAGTAAGGAAACACTGAGTGCGTGGTGATCGACCTGTGAAGATTGCCCTCTCACTCTCATAGCTACTGAAAAACCAAGATGCTATGTGTTGCAGCATCCTTAGCACTCACTTTGGTGTAAATATTTAATTATGTATATTTAATTAATGAGTTAACTAATTAATTTATATATGTGTTTATACAAGCTATCCATGCATGCATGTGTGTGTGTATGTGTGTGTGTGTTGGGGGGGTGTATGTGTGTGTGTTTGTGTGTGTGTGTGTGTGTGGGGGTGTTCTCAAATGGGCACTAGAGTGCCAGGAGTCAACCTCAAATGTTTTTTCTCAGGAATTATTCACCTTGTTTGAGATCACTGACAGCTGGGCCTTATTAACTACACTAGGCTGACTGGTCAGTAAGCCCCAGGAATTGGCCCCTTTCTTACTCCCCAGCCCTGAGATTACTAACCCCTGACCCTATGAAAGACTTTCCACATGGGTGCTGCAGAATGAATTCAGGACATCACTTGTATGCACACTTGACCAGCTGAGGTATCTCATTAGTTCCATTATTAACTCTTTTTCAGAAATTGCTTCGGTGTGGAATCAGCAGAAGGGGCTTTATTTTGGATATATAGGTGATACACTAGGGTAAAGGAAGAAAAAAGACAAATAGTTGGGTTGAAAATTTAGACACAAAATATTAATCAAACTAACACATACTTTATTCTATGTTCAATATTGTAATAAAGGATTTATTTACATTAATTTGATTAAACTTCTAAGCCATCCTCAGGGTTAGGTACTCAAAATGAATGTCCCCAAGTGAAAAGAAATGGCTAGCTAAAGCCATAGCTTGAGTATCATTCCATTTCCTTATGGAACCTTCAAGATACTTATATTTACTGCTATTTTCAGCAACCAGTGAGGTAAGAATGGAGTAATATTTAAAAGCTTCACTTATTGAAAGAAAATCGTAGAAATCCATTGAAGGATGAAGGACTCTGAAACAGGACATTATTAAAATACCTAGAAAATTGCTTGTGCCATAAAGGATGGCAACAGTGAAAGACTTTGGGTGTAAAAGTAAATGCTAAAGCAGTCATCTAAATGTTTTAAACACAAATACGTAAATAAATGGTTTGTCTTAGTCTTGATTATAAAAGTACATTTGTCTTATTTAAAAATTCAATGGTAGGTGTATTTCTTGGGACTGTATAATCATGAAATAGCTCGCTGAATACATTAGTAGTCAAAACTTGATGAAAAAATTTGTGATTTGCATGTCTCATTCCACAGTTTATCTTGTTTTTGTTGTTGTTATTTTGGGACAAGATCCCTCTATATAGCCCTAACTGTTTTTGGAACCCACCATATAAACCAGGGTGGCCTTGCACTCACATATCCCAGTCTGAATGGTGTGTGTCTGCACACACCCATCCTTCATTTGACATTTTGGTTTCATTATTCAATGTGTATATTTTGCATAGAACCATGTTTTAAGCAAAGAAGCAACCCAGTGCTTGCTAGCATTGCATTACACTAGGTGTTGTGTTTGGGAGTTTGTTTTCTATCACAACCCTGTTGTCTTAAACCCGTGGATGTAAGGTGGTGCTAACAGGAACTAACATAACGGGCTTGCTTCCATGCAGTGTTGGTTTGGAAGTGGGTGTGGGGTGAAGAGAAAGATCATTTTCTTTGTGCTATGTATGTTTCCATTTTTTATACAGCATGCTCAATGTTTCTCATTTCCTTAGCCTATGAAAACCTCAAGCCTTGTATGCTGCCAACCCTATCTAATCATCAGAAAAAAAAATAGATTTGTTTGAATTCATAAAACCAAATATCTATAAAGTGAAGGACTAAAATCACATCCTCAGCTTGGGATATAACTCTTGGAAATTACAGTGCTTATGTGGTATATACAAATCCTTGAGTTCAGTTCCCAACACCACAAAGAGTAGGTGCTGTGGTACATACCAGTAACCTCAGCACTTGTGTGGTGAAGCCTGGAGGATCAGAATTTAAGGTCATCTTCAGTTGCATAACAGGTCTGAGGCCAGCCTGGTACACAAGAGATTCTATCTCAAATAAAGAAATAAAATATCCCCTTACTCCCTGTAATTTTCTGTTTAGTGACAATATCACTTTTCCTTTAGAACAACATTGAAAACTTACATTGGCACATGCTTTGCCACCAACTGAAATATTTTCCAAGTTCAGTACATCTCTTTCAAAATGAAAAAGGAGGCCTTTGTGAGTTTTCTGCAATCTGGGCATCAGTCATCTAGTTGTCGCCCTGGTCACACACTGTTCCACTATCATGTGGAATTCACTTTCCAGATGATGAAATGGTTGTGTTTCTTCCTGCTACTCACTGTACTTCAGGCATTTGGACTTTACATGTCAGGAAACATGACATCTCTTTCAAAGACAGGGGCAGAGAATGATAGAAATAGTTTGACATTTAATTCTTAAGTTTGTGTATTTTTAAAATGTTGACTGCTAATGTTTGCATAGATCTCTGTGTGTGGAGGATTCACGTATGTCAAGGATTCTGGGATAAAACTCAAGGCACCTAACTTGGACAGCAAGAGCCTTTACCTGATGACCCTTCTTGCTGTTCTTGATATATTTTATAGCCAACAAGAATTGGAAGCTAGTTGGATGAAAAATATTATTGATACAGTGGCATTAGAATACAAGAATTGAAGAGAAGACATGGGATTATAGTAAAGGTAGACAACGAAGAGTCACTTCAGAATCACCTAAGAAGTGATCCCCATTTCATAGATTCTGTTTTTACTATTTTTGTTGTTGTTGTTTTGGGGGTTTTATTTATTTGTTTTTTTTTTGTTTTTTTGTTTTTTTTTTTTTTTGCAGATGAGGAAAGAACAAATAAATGGAGTCTGTTGTTTTTTTGTTTTTTTTTTTTTTTTTGCAGATGAGGAAAGAACAAATGAATGGAGTCTGTGACACTCAGGACAAATAAATAATTATTGTTTTTTAGATTGGCATGTACAAAATGGTTTCTCTGGATTTCTTCTCTATGTCATTTTGTTAGTTCTGGTTTATTTCAGCTACTATCAAATGTCTTGACCCAACGGGAAAAATTTCCCAGGGAAGATAAGCACTTAGTATAGTGATGTCAGCCAGATGGGAACAATAGCTAAAGCTTTTCCAACTTACAGTACTTGAACACTTAATATCACATACAAAAGTTGGTTCATGAGCTAAATCTTCTAAATCATAATGAGCTTTCCTTGAAGACTTTTGCAGTGGCCACCCCATGTTTTCTACTAGTGTTATTGGCAATCAATGAACTAATCTGAGGTTTTCTCGTTTGTGAATTGAAACAACTACAGTATTATAATGGTTTAATAATATAATTCACATAATATGGTATATACTCCTAAATCATTCAACATCATTTTTAATTCATATTAATTCTCAGAAATTGAAATACACGTGGACAACTTTTTAAAACATGATGATTACATACATAATATTTGCAACATACATTCCTTTGAACCTAAGTACAACTTAACATATTATCAATATATTATCTTGATCAAATATTAATGCATGTGCATAATCATTAAAGTTAAATTGATTTTAAATCATTCATTACACTCAAAAATGAACACAGAATCTATGTTCGAAATATAAAAAATCAAGTTTTAAAACCTTATTCAAAGAAATAAAAAAGAATGCAAATGTAAGAATGCTATATTGTTATAAAAAGGTGCAATTTATCAATATAAAATACACAAAGCAAATAACACATATGGTCATGTTATTAACACAGTCATATATATGAAATTTGAAAGTGGATTAACAGTCATCACTAATTAGGAGGAAGCACACAGTAATATCACACTTCAGTAAAACTCAGCAACAATATAGCAAGAGGAGAAAATCACCTTTAGCAGAACTGACAACTTTGATGTAGTCTCAGAGTGCAGAAAGGACAAGTGTTTGGAGTTGGAGGGGTTCTTTGGGTAAGAAAATGACAACCAAAACATATCATCTTTCTCTTTCATTTACACTGATAAATTCCCCCAAGATATGCACAAACAGTGCTTGAACAGTCCCTTTTGTATCTGACTTCATTTGAAAAACAATACATTCTTCTCTAATCTTAAAGGTTAAAATAAATTAACCTTCCTAACCACTGCTTTGTCTCTTTTCTTAGCACAGCCTTGGAAAAATAGCTTGAATAAAAAAAAAATATCTAGGCAAAATATCTGTTCTGAAATTTAAAAGATACTAACTTAATAACCAACCAACCAAAAAAAAAAAAAAAACCAAAAACCAAAACAAAACAATAAAAACCCCCCAAAAAACAAAAGATAGCCTCTGAAGCAAAAGGATGAAGGTGATGGAATTTCTAACTCCTACAGGCTGCAAAGTAGGCATTCAGAAAGCTACCTAGTTTCCTTTACACTAATGATTAAAGCCTCCATTTTAACCTTCACTATAAATAGAGTACACTAATCCTTAAGCTGTTTTTAGGCAATTAATATTAGCCGTCTTCCTTTTTATCCCCAGTTCCCCTTGAAAAGCAATAGCTGATTTGTATTTATTCAGCGTGATGGATTGGTATTTCACTTTAAATAGAACCACATAAGCCTCTCTCTATTTGGGTGAGATATAACTGCCACCCTCATCTACTTGTATAATGCCATGACACAGAGAAATCACAGCTTAAACCAAAAGCCTATGGTGTGCCGTTTTAGAGAAACTGATAAAAGGAAAAGCTGTGTGAACCATTTTAGAAAACAAATGACTATGCTCTCTAGAACAATTGAAGCAGTGTGCATAATACCTCATTCTGCTACAGTCATTTATAGAATCATAGACAGTGCATATTTCCCGTAATGAGAGTTAGGCAGTTAAGAAAGGTAAATGGATACACCGGGGGTTCCATTTCTCGGAAACAGTGGCTGGTTCAGTGATTTGCTTGGCTTTATGGGTACAGGTCACACATACACACACAACTACACATACTGACTTTTGGAGTATATGCTCGGGGATGTCTTTTCCGCGTGGAAACTCCTTTGGGTGGTGCGATGGGATGGTACTGAGTATCTGTAACTGTTCCTCTTCTCGGTGCAGCAAAACACGCAAGAGAAAAGCATTCCTCCGGCAATCAGTACCAGTGCTGTCGTCCAGCCGATGTAGAGGGCCTCCCCAAGCTCACGTTTTTGGGCCACATCCACCAGCGGGTTGTAGAAGTCTCTGATGATGGAATTGGCAACCCAGCTGACAGGGATTAGCACCACCAAGCCAGTGACGATGAAGACGATTCCGGCAGTCAGCAGGATGCGGCTCTTCACATTCTCTTCGTCCCCCGTGCACCTGGTGCACTTCATTCCCAGGATGGCGGTCATGAAAGCCAGGAAGGACAGGACAGAGGCAGCACACATCAGTCCTCTGGATGCCTGGAGGTCCGGAGTGAGAGCAAGCAGGGAGTCGTAGACTTTGCACTGCATTCTAATGTTGGCATGTCTCATGCAGTTCATCCACAGGCCTTCCCACAGGTTCTCAAACACCACGATGTTACTTTCAATGAAGGCAGACACTCTCCACTGAGGCATGATGGTCACCGCTACTGTGCCCACCATGCCAACACCGCCAAGCACCAGTCCAGCCATTTGAAGAACGGAGGTTGCCATGGTCTTCCCGAGTTTTGTCCAGCTGGAATGCTGAACAGGCAGGTAGGGCTACTCCCAAGCAGAAATCCGTGAGCCTTGAGGGGAACAGTCCTCAGGTAGAAATGAGCTCAGAGAGCAGTGATTTTTCAATAACAAGGGCTTTGCTCTTTCTAGCTAGATCAAATCCAGTGCTGGCTGGTGAGACACTCCCCCCGACCCTGGCTCCAACAGTAAACTTGCAAATCAGGTGGGGCAACTTTCTTAGCCAATAACAGGGGGATGGGAGCTCAGGTGTGTCTAAATCAACTCTGGATACTTGGGAAGGCTGGACTTGCAAATAAACATTCTTTGTACTTCTCATTTTTTTTTTTCCAAGAAGACAGCTGTATGTTTACCCAGAGGCAGAATTATGAGTTTTTGCGCAACCAACAAGGACAGAGCCAGTGTCTTCCAGCAAAAGAGGCTTCCACTCCTGCTGGCACAGGTAATCCTGCCCCTCAGCTGCTGTGAGGAGGCTCCAATAAACCCCCTTCCTGTGGATGCTGCAAGGGTGTACAAAGGCCAAATTAAAGGAGAAGGGGGGTTGACATTATTCATACCCGAGAAACCACATTCTTTGAGACACATGTGGTCGGGAGGGTTGATTCAATTTGTCTACAACTTCAAAGTGAGCTCTCCCACGGAGAGTTCAGCCAGGAGAGCATGCCAAAAGTCAAAAGCTAGGCTGGAGTAATTGAACAAAGTAGGTTGCCTTCCTTGTTGGCACTAAATGTATATGGTTTTCTTTTAAGCCAGGAAAACTACTTGTTGGCATTTGTTTTTCTGATAATATTGATTTATAATGAAGAGTGCAAACACACAAAAAGAGAAGCCAGATGGCTTTGTGAGGAGGGATCACTACAGTGCCTAAAGGGTACTGTCTGTAGCTCCTAAAGCTGAGACCTTATTTTCTAGCCTGTTACTTACTGCTCTGTCTTCTGGTCTGGAGAAAATGGAACTCTGGACATTGTACAGGTCCATGCAAATTGCTGGTAACATCTTCATCAAAACAAATTATATTAGAAGGTTAACTAAAATTATCTTTCCTGCATATGAGGACATGCCTTATGCAAATATACATAGTAGCCCTTAATGATGGCAATTTGAACTGTCTTTGCAAACTAACAATAGAAATGTTAGTGGCATCAGCATCCACATGAACTGGGGACAGCTCTATTAGAAATTTCCCTTTGGAGGCCATCTTTTCTCTCTGCCTTGCCTTTCCAAACCTTAAGTTATTTTCCCCTTTCAGATAGCCCAGGTTATCCTTGAACTTATAGTGCCGTCAAAAGGATGCCCATGAATTCCTAATTCTCCTGCTTCTCTCTTTCAAACACGAGGATTGCAGGTGTTTACTATCTCACCTGATTTAGACAATGCTGGAGAGCAAACCTAGGGCTTGCTTGGCTACACAAGAACACACTGTTGAATGAGCTACATGCCAAACCCTTCAAATTGTAGTTTAATTTCCTGTCACCATAACAGATACTGACATAACATCTCCTATACCCCCCTCTCTTTCTTTCTTACTGTTTTTGAGATAGTCTTGTGCACTATATACTTTCCTGGAACTTACTATGTTGCCAAGAATGGCCTAGAACTCCTGACCTCCCAGCCTCTGCCTCTAGAGATTACAGGCATATGACACCACACCTGTTACAATAATTATCCCCTTAAAATTATGCTTCTGTCTGATTCTTTGTATATTAAATTCAAGGATTAGAGACACTGTTTCAGGCTCACTTATCACATTTTGAAATTCTAATGCTCTAAAAACTTAGTAGGCCTCATTCTCCCTGAGGAGCAGAAAGGGTTGGGATAGGGGGCCGTGTGGGGCAGGGGAGGAGGGGAGGGAGAAGGAACTGAGATTGACATGGAAAACAAACTTGTTTCTAATTTAACCAAAAATAAAAGACAAAAAAGAGAAATATTTTAAAAATACCATGTAGAAATACATAGATTAGTAGTTATGGGTTAATAATTAAGAGCAGAAAGGGGGTTGGGATAAGGGGTTGGAGGGGGACAGGGGAGAAGGGGATGGAGCTGGAACAGGGATTGACATGTAAAACAAGATTGTTTCTAATTTAAATAAAAAAATAAAAAAATACTTAGTAGGTTTTTTTATAAATTTTATTTAAATTAGAAGCAATCTTAGTTTACATACCAATTCCAGTTCCCTCTCCCTCCCATCCTCCCATGCCCCCCTCCTCCAAACCCTGCATCCTGTCCCCCATCCATTCCCCAGGGAGGGTGAGGCCTTCCATGAGGGATCATCAAATTCTGTCAAGTCATTTGGGGCAGGGCCTAAGATAGAGACTTTTGAAGCAAAATTTATGCATGGCAGGGTAGGGAAAATGAAGACACTAAAGTAAGACATCCCCTAAAAACTAAGAATGAATAGCAATCCAAGTTATTTTATTTTACTGGGTATATTGAACTAAGTAATAACTTAAAACGTTGTGTTTCCATTGATTTCTTAATTTCTTTACCTGTTAAGAGCTCACTGCTCCTTCATTTTCCTGATGTGGAAATAAATATCAGTGTTTTCTTCACCAGAATTTATCAGTTTTAACAGATTTGTGATAGACAGGGGAATAGAAATATATTATCTCTGGAAATAACCTTCAATCTGCAAAATGATGACTTGAAATTTCATCTGGAGAGAGTTTTAATCTTTAATTATCAATATGGGAAAATGGAATAACAGACATAATTTCAAAATTAAAAAGGAATGTTGGCATTGTTTGGAAAATGGCCAGCTTGTATTTAAGGGATATAAGGGTGTATGCTATCCATCAAAATTGAATTTCCAAATACCAATGTGATATATTTTCTGGGATCTCTGGATATATTTTGCTGAACATTTGCTTCTGAATGGGCAAATTCTACAGAGAGCTACCAATGAAACTGAATATTTCTTAAGTATGTATAGATAAAGCTGACTTTATATGTAACTCTATCCCTCCCCCTAAGCATTGGGCTGTGTTAGGAAGTTCATTGAAGTAAATATTCTCCCCATTTAAAAAATATTAACTACTTTTCAGTTGAATTGTCTTAGCCCAAAGATTAAGACCTGTAGGAGAGATTAACCCTGGGCTTACATTAGCATAATTACACCACGAACTGCTCTCGTAGCACCTAGGCCAGGGCACCCAAATTGTCAGACAGTGATATAATTCACTCCATGGGATTTTTGTAACAAACCATGTGCTAAAGATCAGAGAAATGAGAAAGGTGGTGGTAGGGGATTGGGAATGCCATGTTTTCTAGGGACAGAAACCTGAGTACACAAACTAAAGGTCTTTTACAACTGACCTAGTTTTCTGTGCTACCGAGATGGTTGACTGAAAAATTCAGGTTCTAGTAGTGATTAGAGATTTAGTAGAGAAATGATGTTTTTATGTTTTCTTGTAGTATAAATCACCTGAGTGCATATATATAATTGCAGTCTAGGCTGACCTGTAACATGCTGACCTGTAACATAATTTTCAACACTGACTGGCCTTGAAACTCTTGTCTGTCCTTCTGCCTCAGCCTCCTGAATGCTGAGATGAGTTGCAGTCATGTAATTTCTGCTGCCTATGTGCAGGCTGAGCCTCACAATACAAAATGGTACTAGTACATGAGGTTATTTGTGATGCTTTTGGCTTTGTTATAGTTGTTTATTTATGTAGTTTTTGACTCAACTGTAGGGTTCTCAGGGATGAACTTTGTAGGGTGTTGCCAAGTCAAATGGGTGGGAACCTGTGGGGCAGCCATGAACATTTACTCCCAGACAAAGGGACTTGTTTCCAGAGAAAAACTCAGAAGCTTCATTTAAGTGTCATAATTTTAAATTTACTAATTAAAATCAACCCTGACAAGTACCTGATGCACACAAATGCTTTCCCTTCATAAAGGAAATTACACATTGCCCTCAGATATCTCTTGTCTCTGTTGTCTTTATTTCTGTATTCCAACTCTTCGGTCTTAGCTTACTAATAGATTTTCTGACTGTTTAAAATGATTATTGATTCTGCCTCCACATAGTTGCCAATGCCTATTGTTTCCTAAATTTATTGGTGTGGATACTTTTCAGCCTGTGTTTATTGTTAGTTGCTGTTCACTGTTAATTAGCTGTACTTGGCTCACCACCCTGCCCTGAGAAGGCAATTGAATATATCGATAGGTCTCTTTGTTTTTTGTTCTTAATATTGAACTGTGGTTTGCTTCATGGTCTTTTAAACCAACACCCCATTTGTCCTTCTTGATGGACACGCCTGTGTTTTGTTCCCCAATAGCTATCTTCCATCTTTGGTACCTTTTGATGACCTATTTTAGTTGTTGTGCTTAAAAATGAACTCTTCCCTATATAGTAATTATCTTGTAGCTTAGCCGTTTATAATACTTTGAAAAAATGACATAGGTAGAGCTGTTGACTCCAATGGGAAAGTGGTATTCATCACTCTTCTGATGACTGGAAAGACAAAATGGCTAAGGTTTGGTGAGAAAGTCACAGAATATGACTCATGCTGTTAATTTTTTATCTACAGCAGAGAGAGATACATACTTGTGTCCAGCTCCTTTTCTCCATGTTATCCAGTCTTTCAAAGAGCCTCCCACAGATGGAGTTTTGCCCTCCAAGCAGCTTCATTTTGTGCCAGTGAAGCCCCCCAGGTTTCTCTTTGATAGTACTAAGCCCTTCAACAGTAACCTACTTTATGGTCTATAGTCTCCTTGACTGAAACTTTAAACCTTCACATTCTTCCTTTCCAAGCAAGAGCTTTCTACTTCCTGTTCTTAGGTTCTCTTCTCACATGGTAGAGCTAGATGAGAGCAGTGAGGAGTGACTGTGAAATCACCTGAAAACAATCTTGTCCTTATCTTCTCTCTACCTCACAGATCACTGTATTATCTGGAACCTTAACATCATTCGCAATCTCATGACATGAGCTGAATGCAACTGCATTCTTTGCTAGAACATCACAGCCCTGAACCAGTTC